TGGGCGCGAAGGGGCAAGCGCAAGACCCTCTGGCGACCTCTTGGGCCGCCCAGTTGGTATGATTGCTACATTACGGTGATCATGGGGCTTTGGCAGGAGATGAATCGGGGTACCTGAACCAGCGCGTCGCTCAAGACATCCCAACACTGTGGCCGCGACCGGGCAAGTGTCGGCCCCCCTCGGCGGCTTCTCAGTGGGGTGCCCACATGTGATGCCTTCTACATCGCGGTGGCCAGGATGCTTTAAGAGCAGAAGAGTCGGCGACGTCAAACGAGCGAACCTTCGAGAAATCCCCGAACATGGCCGCAACTATTAAGTCGGGCCTGTCCTTCTACAGGAGGAATATTCAAACATAGTGAAACATAGTCTGGGAACGATTTTTTGAAAAAGCTAACTTTGTTGAAACACTTTTTCGGGGTACTTTCATTTTTCTTCCATAATCCACCTATAGGGGGACATGCCCGACCTAACGCTAACAGGCAACTGCCCCCCCCCCTCTCGCAGCTTTTCCTTGGCGCAACGGGCAAGCGCAGCACCCTGGCGACTTCCCTTTGGGCGCCCAAGTGCTATGTTCGCTTTATCGCGGTGCTCACGGGGCTCTCATAGGAGACTCGCCCACTGGGTCAAACGAGCGTCTCGCTCGAGACATCCCCACAATCTGGCCTCGAACGTGCAAGTGTCCCTCCTCCCTGGCGGCTCCTCTTTGAGTTGAAGAGAGACCTGTCTGCTGCTCTGCGCTGTTTCTGCTGCTCCCCGCAAGTCCCTGCGCCATGCCAGCTTTATGTCGGTTTTCTGCTGCTCTCTGCTGTGCTCTGCTGCTTTCTGCGGTTATGTGGTTTCTGCTGGTCACTGGTCTGTTCCAGTTGCATGCCGGCTCTCTGCTGCTCTCCGCTTCGCTTTGTTGTTGTCTGTTGCTCTCTCAAGCCATGACGAGAGAAGAGGAGGAGGAGGAGGAGCAGCATCTGCCAACGCGGCATACGCCATAGAGAACCAGATGCCCGAACCGCCACGTGTGCTGCACCGCGGTGATCACGGGTACCTCGAAGCAGATGGGGCGGCGACGCCAAACGGGCGCCTCGCTCGAGGCATCCCCGCAGCCTGGCCACGAGCGGGCAAGTGCTCCACCCCCCCTTGGCGGCTCTCCCTTGGCGTGCCCGAGTGCCACACCTGCGGCCTCTCGGTGGCCGAGGGGGAATCACAGAGAGCAGAGGGGTCGGCGAGGAGAAGGAGGAGGGAAGGGAAGAGGAGGAGAAGGAGGAGGAGGAGGAGGAAAGGAGGAGGAGGAGGAGGAGAGGAGGGGGAGGGGGAGGAGGAGGAGGAGGAGGAGGAGGAAGGGGAGGATAGGAGGAGAGGAGGAGGAGGAGGAGGAGGAGGAGGAGGAGGAGGAGGAGGAGGAGGAGGAGGGTTTTTTTGAGGAGGAGGAGGAGGAGGAGGAGGAGGAGGAGGAGGAGGAGGAGGAGGAGGAGGAGAAGGAGGAGGAGGAGGAGGAGGAGGAGGAGGAGGGGTCGGCGACGCAGAGCGAGCGCCTCGCCTCGAGCGCCCCTCGACGGGGGTGCCCAGGCGCTGTGCTTGCTGCATCGGGGCGGCCACGGAGCGTGCCGAAGCAGAGTAGCTAGGGCCACGCCAGGCGAGCGCCTCGCTCGAGGCATCCCCCGCAGTCTGGCCGTGACCAGGCAGGTGTCCCACCCATTGGCGGCTCCCCCATTGGTGTGTCCGAGTGCCACGCCTGCTACGTCGCGGTGATCATGTGCGGATCCGAGTATGGGCCGCATGAGCGACAGAGTCTGGGTAAGGTCTGACCAAGCTGGTTGTGAACTCATCTCAGTGTGAGTGGTCTGAGTGCGTGAGTCTGAGTGTGAGTGGGTCAGCGTGTGCGAGGGTCTGTGTATGAGTGAATCTGAGTATGAGTTGATTCGGGTGTGAGTGAGCGTGGGCATGAGTGTACGTGTGAGTCTAAGCGTGAGCGATCGGACAGGTGAGTGGCCGAACGTGGGCAAGTCTGAGTATGACCCAGCTGAGCACAGACGGACCTGGGTGTGGCTAGGCTGAGCGGAACATGTGTGGGCTGTGCAAGGGAGTCGGGTGTGTGAGGGGGAGGAGGAGGAGGAGGAGGAGGAGGAGGAGGAGGAGGAGGAGGAGGAGGAGGAGGCGGAGGCGGAGGCGCCACACGAATCATACGACTCCCATCCCTAGGATAGAGGAAAAGCATAGGAGGCCCCAAGGGGCGCCCCATATGGCCCACGGAGGCGCGGTGGGGGGGGATGCAGGGAAGCCCCAGAAGCCCCTCAAGCTGGCACCACGAGGGCCCCATTAGCGATCCAAGAATCGACTATCTGCTCGGCGACTCTTCGCCCGTTGCTCCTCATATGCCATCACGTGCGAGTTCAGACAGATGTCGTGGACGGTAGTCCACGGAGTCGCCCTAGTCAGTTACAGTGCTGGGATCAGCGCGTGCGAAAAAGGCGCGCAGTGGGAGCGGGCTCTACGGCTGCTCAGCGACATGATGGCATTGAAGGTGGAAGCCGATGTCGTCAGCTACAGTGCTGGTATAAGCGCGTGCGAGAAATGCGAGCAGTGGCAGTGGGCTGTGGCGCTGTTTAGCGAGATGTTGGAGGCAGATATAAAGCCCAACGACATCAGCCGCAACGCCATGATTAGCGCGTGCGAGAAAGGCAGGCAGTGGCAGCGGGCTCTAACGTCGCTCAGTGAAAAGCTGGAGTTGGAGGCGAAGCCCGACGTCATCCCTACCTCGAGGCCCGCGCATGCGATTCGGGCACAGCCTCTCGGGCCGAAGAGGGCGCTCAGACGGGCCGAGTACACCCCCAAGTTAGCCCAAGAGGACCCGAGCCGGCCTCCCAGATGGCCTCAATATGGTTCGAAGACGGCGCACCATTCTGGGGAGACCACTAGGTACCGATACCGCTACTCCCCAGACCTCTCCTGGGGTGCGTTCTGACCAGAATTTCGAAGCGAATCCAGCGGTGGCGACGAGGGCCTCCGAGGAGGCCCAAAGAGGGGGAACCGGGCGGAGGGTAGAGGTATGGGTACCTTTCCCTCCTCTGACATTCGCCCCATAAGGCCTCGGGATGGCCCCCAAACCCTGCCGAGTGGCCCCCAGAACCTCCGAGAGGGCCCCGCGAGGCCCCGATGAGCCCCCAAGGATGGCACGGATGAGCCCCACGAGCGCCCGACGGAGGCCCAACATGGTTGCAGGGGCTTCGAGAGAGCTGCCAGGTTGGCTATTCTCTACATGCTCATACCCACGCTCGCCTCTCTCCTCCCCTTCTCCCCTTCCCCTCCCTCCTCCTACCTTGTTCTCCCCTCCCCCCCTTACCTCCTACTCCTCCTCACTCCATCATCCTCCTCCCTCCTCCTCCTCCCTTCCCCTCCTCCTACTCCTCTTCCTCCTCCTGCTCCTCCACTCCTCCTTCCTACTCCCCCTACCCTCCTCCTCCCTCTCCTTCCTTGTTCTCCCATCTTCTTCCTCCTCCTCCTCCCTCCTCCTCCTCCTCCTCCTCCTCGTCCTCCCCCACTCCTCTGGCCAGCAGATGGGCCCCAAGAAATTTGTCATTCTTCTCGTTCCTTCCCCGGGGATGCCGGAATCTTCGAGATGCTCCCGAGATCGTTCCAAGGGCCCCCCCCACTACCAAGGCCACCCACGGAGCAGTCCAGGACCCTCGGGGCCCGCGAAGCAGCGGCACCAGGCGCAACAGCACCAGCAGCAGCACGCAGCGGCGGCAACCGGTATCACACAGCAGCACGCTGGAGCAGTCTGTGGAGCGCAGCAGCAGGCGGCAGCACCTGCGAGCCAGAGGCCGAAAGAAGACGCCGCGCGGCGGCAGGCCGGGGGACGCCGCCGACGGTGCCGTCGTGGACGCAGCTCTCGGGTCAGCCCTGGTCAGCTACAATGTTGGCCTCAGCGCGTGCGAGGGCGGCGGGCAGTGGGAGCGGGCGTTGTCTTTGCTGTGCGACATGTGGAAGGTGAAGCTGGTGCCCACCGTGCTGAACTACAACGCAGGCATCGGGGCATGCGAGAAGGGCGGGCAGTGGCAGCACGCCCTATCGCTGCTGTGCGGCTTGCGGGAAGCGGAGATCGAGCCAGAGACCTGCAGCTACAGCGTGGCGGTCACCGCGTGTGCGAGGGCTGGGCTGTGGCAGCGGGCGCTGAGCCTACTCCGGGGGCTACAGGACGTGAGACTGGAGTCGGACGTCATCAGCTACACCGCTGGAATCAGCGCGTGCGAGGAGGCACAGCGCTGGGAGGAGGCAGTTTGGCTGCTCGGAGACCTGCAAAGAGCGAAGCTGAAGCCCGACGTCGCTGGCTTCAATGCCTGTCTCAGCGCGTGCGGGAAAGCCGGTCAGTGGCAGCACGCGCTGTCGTTGCTTCACGAGATAGAATGCAAAGACTTGTCTCCTGATCTGACGAGCTTTAATGCTGCAGTTAGCGCGTGCGAAACCGCCGAGCAATGGCAGAGCGCATTATCCGTGATGGTCGGGATCCACGAAGCTGAGCTGGCGCCGGACATCGTGAGTTACGGTGCCGGTATCGGTGCGTGCGCAAAATTTGGAGAGTGGCGGCAGGTATCTAGCGGCTCTCGGCCCATCCCACCATCGTGCCTGGGTTGTCGGTCAGATGCCCCTTGGATGCGTGTGAGGACTATAGGGAGACCTCGCGGCAGTTCCTTGGAGGCTCTAAAGTGAGACCTTCCTTCAGAAGCTTCTCAAGACTATGTGCATCACTTGATACCGAGAACTCGCAGGGACCTGGGGACACTGCAGCTCGTGCCTCAGCGCAAGGTGGCGGATTGGCATTGTTGAGTGAGTTGAATGACGTGAAGTTGAAACCGACCGTCATCAGCTGCAATGCTGGGATTAGCGCGTGCGCGAAAGCGGGGCAGTGGCAGCAGGGGCTGTCATTGCTAAGAGCGTTAGTAGGTGCGGGAACAGAGCCGAACGTCATCAGCTACAACGCTGGAATCAGCGCGTGCGGGCAAGGTGGGCGGTGGAAGCAGGCGCTGTCGCTGCTCAGGGAGATGGAAGAAGGAAAGTTGGAGCCTGACGTCGTCAGCTACAACGCTGTAATGAGTGCGTGCGAAAATCGTGGCCAGTGGCAGCAGGCGCTGTCGTTGCTCAGCAGCTTCCAGAAAGCAGCATTGGAGCCTGATGTCATCAGCTTCAATGCTGTCGTGAGTGCGTGCGAGAGTGGGGGTGAATGGCAGCAGGCGCTGTCGCTGCTTCGGCAGGTCGGAGAGTGCAGGCTGGAACCGACCCACATCAGCTACAGCGCTGGAATCAGCGCGTGTGAAAAGGGCGGGCACTGGCAGCTGGCGTTGTGGCTGCTGGCTGAGACGTGGGGCATGAGGCTGAGGCCGAACATATTCAGCTACAACGCGGGAGCCAGCGCATGCGAGAAGGCTGGTTTGTGGCAGCATGCGCTGTCGCTGCTGATCGGGCTGCGAAGCGCGAGGCTGGAGCCAGACGTCATCAGCTATGGTGCTGCGATCAGCGCGTGTGTGAGAGGAGGGCAGTGGCAGCAGTCACTGCTCTTGCTAAGTGGCTCGCGGGAGGTGCAGCTGGATCCTGATGTCATCTGCTACAGTGCTGGAATCAGCGCTTGCGGTCAAGGCGGTCAATGGCAGCGGGCGCTATCGCTGCTTAGGGACATGATCTCGAAGCAAGTGGAAGCGGACGTCATCAGCTTCAATGCTGGAATCAGTGCATGCGTTGCAGGGGAAAGTTGGCCTCATGCTATGCTGTTTCTTCGCGAGATCGTTGAGGCTAAGTTGGAGCCAACCTTCATCACCTACTGTGCCGCCATCAGCTCGTGCGAGATTGCGGGGCATTGGCAGCGGGCTCTGTCGCTCCTCAGGGAGATGGGAGAAGCGACCCTGAAACCTGGCCTTGTCAGCTTTAAATCTGCGATGCGCGCATGTGAGGTCAGCGGCCACTGGCAGCTGGCGGTGTCACTGCTCCACGAGATAGGGCACGCCAAGGCTGACCTGGACGTCTCCGGCTACAACTTTGGAATCAGTGCGTGTGCGAGTGGCGGGCAGTGGCAACAGGCGCTGTCGCTGCTCGAAGGGATGCGGGAGGCGGAGCTGGACCCGAATGTCGACAGCTTCAGCCCTGGAGCCAGCGTGTGCGAGAGGGGCGGGCGGTGGCGAGAAGTAATCTCGCTGCTCGACGGAATGGACAAGGCGGCATGTCTTCGCCTCGGGGATGGCGACGTGGCTCGGGCTCCCGGTAGCGTTGCGCGTGGGAGCAGGGCTCATGACCACAGTGCGCAAGCATACCCATGGGGCCCCTGCCCAGGATGATGCGGCCTTGGAACTCCTGGAGGCTGGAAGCGTCCTGCTGGCCCATCGGCGACCGCCTATCCTCACAGGACGCCCTGCCGGTCTTCGGCTGCACGACAGCTTGAGCAGCTGACCGGGCACTAGGGAACCATAATTGGCATGTGCCGCATTGCGTCAGCTGGGATCGCTGGATGTTGTTGTAGTTGTTGTTGTTGTGGATGCTGTTGTTGTTGTTGTTGTTGTTGTTGTTGTTGTTGTTGTTGTTGTTGTTGTTGTTGTTGTTGTTGTTGTTATTGTTGTTGTCGTCGTTGAATTCTCATTTCTGAAGAATAATAATTGTTGATCCCCCCCACCAGTGCATAATGTTTTTCTCAATCAAAGTGTGCCCCTCGACGCTCGCAGCCTGTTTTTTGACAGGGGAAGTCTTCCTGCTCAAATTGGGCCCCTGGCCCCCGGGTTACAACAACAACGGCTCCCGCTTGAGACTTCCTTGCAATTTAGCCAGGATCCCCGCTCCCGCCCGAGACTTCCTCGCATTTTATTCAGGAATCGCGCTCTCGCTTGGGACTTCCTTACAATTTATTCAGGAATCGCTCTCCCGGCGCTCTGGAGTCGCGCTCTCGCTGGAGACTTGCTTGCAACTTACTGAAGAATGGCCTTGCGTTGGAATTTCCTGCAATTTGCCCAAGCGCCGCGCTCCCGACACCCAGGCACCCAGGAGTCGCGCCCGTTGTGGCCCCATGTGCATGCCCTTCGTGGCCCCGCTGTCGCCATTTGTGTCCCCCTCACTGTCCTACGTGGCCCAGTTGCTACCCTCAGTGGCCCCATAGTTGCCTTCTGTGGCCCCGCATAATCTGCACTTCGTGGCCCCCGCTCGTTCGCGCTCTTCGTGGCCCCATACGCATTCCCTTCGTGTCCCCGCTGTCGCCCTTCGTGGCCTACTTCGTGCCCTTCGTGGCCCTGCTGTCGTTATCTCTCGCTCTCGCTTTCGCTCGTCGTCGCCGTCGTCGTCGTCGTCGTCGCCGTCGTCTTCGACGTCGTCGTCGTCGTCGTCGTCGTCTTCGTCGTCGTGGTCGGTCCCCTGTCCTTCCACTTGGGGTCGGGTCGACGTCCGCGGGGCTGCCGCCGATCAGCGCTGCTGCTGGCCAGGCCGACGGTCCGCGGCCGCCCCGCCGCTTGCCGGGGCCCGGCCTACAGGGAAGAAAGGTATACCCCCAAAAGGGGTTCGATCGAAGACGAAGAGGGCGGGTATCGAGGGTATGGGAAATACGCGTTATTGCACACTCGAGCATATAAGGGCGAGCAGTCTTAAAATGATTGTTGTTGTTGTTGTTGAACATTATTTATTCTAAAGAATAATTATTGTTGGGCCCCCTGGTGCGCGCCCCCCCTGCGCCGCCTAGGCCGCAGCTACATTTTCATCATTTTCGTGAGGAAGCCTCAGAAAAGAGGGTGTGTACAGGATCCGGTTGTTTTGTTGTAATCCGCTTTCCCTTGCAAAAAACAATATAAAATGACATTTATTGTTCTAATATAATCAAATTTCAAGAATCCCTTGCAAAAAATAAGGTAAAGTGGACATTCGCGCGCGCAAGACGAAATCCTTCCAAAACCTTAGTGTTCGCAGCGATTTTAACATTAAAACATCAAAAAACCAATGGTTTTTCAACAAAAAATTGTCAAAATCTCATCCCGCGCGCTCTTGCGGATTCGTAGGAAACCCAACACTTTTTAACATTTCTGTCAAACGGGCTTTTGCGAGCAACTTTTTCGAACTTCTGCGACAACGGTTGCGCACCTGCCAGGGCCATCATCCCTGTCAAATAATACCATGCGGGACACATTCGTTTTTTCTTCGCGCGCGCACGCCGAAATCTCCAAAAAACATTGGGCTTCTTAAGAATTTTAGCATCGCTCACAACCATCGGGACAACCATCGGGACAACCATCGGAACAACCATAGGGACAACCATCGGGACAATCATCGGGACAGTCATCGGGACAACGATCGGGACAAGCACAACCATCAGGACAACCATCGGGACAATCATCGGGACAACGATCGGGACAACCACAACCATCAGGACAACCATCGGGACAACCATCGGGACATCCATCGGGAACAGCCCGCGAGGCTCTCTCCTTGTGTATTCCCAATCCCTCAGGAATTTGCTAAAGATGTGAATCAACTATATTGTGAGTTCGTATCATGGTGTATATGGTGGTATCATGTTACCTTTATGATCATTTGCAAACCAGTGTTCTGTGGAAGGACTTAACAAACATTGTGGTTAACAAGGCCTTAACATCTTTCTGTGGGTGTACGAACGTAGGCTTACACTTTTGTGGGTGTGTAACTCCACGCCAGTGGTAGTAGCACGGTGGTTCCGCAGGCCACGAAGTGAAGTGTCGAACGTCATAGGGCGCGGTGAAGCTGGGTTGTGGGGTGGTTGCGAAGAGTCGTGTGGATATTTGGTAGAGCTTGCACTGCCCCCCCACAAAGTGGGGGTATTGGCTGGCGTCGCATGAAAACCCTGGCACTGGTGAGAACACTGAGCGTTCGGGTAAAGTGATTGTTGTTGTTGTTGTTGTTATTGTTGTTTTTGTTTTTTTGTGTTATTGTTGTTGTTGGTGTTGTTGTCGCTGTTGGTGTCATGGCTGTTGTTGTTGGTGTTGGTGTTCATGTTGTTGTTGATGATGCTGTTGTTGTGGTCGTGGTCGTGGTTGTTGTTGTTCTTGTTGTTGCTGTTGCTGTTATTGTTGCTGTTGTTGTTGCTGTTGCTGCTGTTGTTGTTGTGGTTGCCGTTTTTCATCCTGCCCCTCGTGCCACCTTTCACTCCTCCTCCTCTCCCTCGTTCTCCCCAGCAGCGTCCCTGCCAGCAGATAGCTTAGGTCACAAACCCAACACAGTCGCCCAATCCCAAAAACGCGAGGGCCAAGACAGAACGCAGGCTCCTCGAGACTTCGGGGAGGGAGATTTTGGGGCTCAGGGTTTTACCGGGGTGACACGGCAAACCTGCACCGATTTTTTTGTTGGCCGATCTTCGAATCCTCTGTGAAACCGCGATTTTGGGGCTGGGTATGTGTTTTTTTTTGGTCGTTAGGCAAGCAGCCCACCCAGGGTCTGCCACGCGCTGGGGCGCCGAACACGCGGCCGCGTCTGCGGGCGCCCGCGCTCCCGGGAGCCGTGGCGCGGGGGGCGCTCGCCGTGCGCAGGGATCGCTCCGAGACCGGGGCTCGGCGCGCCGCGTCACCGAGCGCCGTCCGCTGCGGTCATTGGGCTCGTCCTACCGACAGCAGGGGGGCAGCCGCCTGCGAAGACCGCCTCGCCTCCTCTTATCTACGACGCCGCAACGCCTACGCCTCCCCTCCCTTCGCCTCTGCCTCCTCATCATCCTTCCTTCTCCTCCTCCCTCCTACCTCCCCTCCGCACCGACCCATCCTCCTCACTCCTCCTCCCTACTGCCTCATCCTCCTCCTCACTTCTCCTCTTCCTCGCCTCCCCTCCTCCTCCCCCTCCTC